CCCTCTAATTGCCCTTAAGGGGTTAACAAAAAATTTGCCACTATTTATACCCCCAAAAAACATATTTCCATTGACGAATCCCTCGTAAAGTTTAAGGGAAGACTTGGGTTTAAACCGTACATCCCATCCAAAAGATCCAGATATGGGATAAAATTGTATAAGTTGTGTGAAAGTGGCAGTGGCTATGTTTATACGAAGTATGGGATAGCCATCTTGATCCCCAGGTTTCCCAGATATAGTAGGGATAAGTGGGAAAATTGTCTGGGACCTAATCGTGCCTTTACTAAACAAGGGATATCACTTGTATATCGATAATTTTTACAACAGTATCCCACTTCTAAAAATGCTGTACTGTTTTGAGACCGTGGCCTGTGGCACTATTCGGAAGAGTCACACAGGTTTCCCAAAGGCTCTAGCAGAAAAAAAATAAAAAGGGGGGAAACAGCAGCTCTCTGCCAGAATGAACTGCTGGCACTAAAGTACTGCGATAAAAATGAGGTGTTCATCCTAACCACCATCCATGATGAACACACTCACAAGGTAGCAGTTTGTGGCTGAGAGAAAATTAAACTGGTGCCAGTCTGCATACAACATTACAATCGGCATGACCTGTCCGATCAACTGATGCAGCCGTATTTGATCATGCGAAAGACCAGGGCATGGTACAAAAAAGTGGGCATATATATAATGCAGACAGCAATCCACAATGCCTTTTGTAATCTTTAAAAAGGCAAATGCTGAGCTGAAATACACGTTTCTTTCATTTCAGTTTCAGCTCATTTCTGAGCTGCTTGAGTGCCACAGAGGGGGACCATCACTGGAGCCTATCAGAAGAATGCAGGCAGGTCACTTCTGCTTCAGGATTCCATCAACCCCTAAAAATAAAAAACCCCAGGTCCAGGGTGTGTTACAAGAAGGGAGTAAGAGCGGAGACCAGTTATTACTACCCTGATTGCTCCTCTCAGCCTGGCCTATGTATTGGCCACTGTTTTAAAATTTTCCACACCCAGGCCAAATAAGTAGACCGGTTTTGCGGTGTGATTCTAGTCATCTGTCTGATTATTTGGTTACCGAATCTTGGCTTTGTTTCCCGTTCATCCTGTCTTCTCTGATCCTTGACTTCGGCTTGCCCTGTCGTTCCATTTTGCTTTACTCCTTTGACCTCTGCTTGTAACTTGACTATTCTCTGCTTGTATAGCCCAGCCATTCTAAGGACCGGTATTACAAGTTTCTCTCTCTGTGTTCTCTCTCTTTGTGGTCTGTCTGTGTGTTTTGGTTCCGGAATCCATGCTAGCGTTGCCCGGGATGCAGATGACTGGGTACTACCTCCTGATCAGTTTACGCCAAATATTCCCCTTTCACAGCAAATAGTATGCACGTGTTCATAAATTTAATTGATGAGCTGCTTGTATTTAAAAATAGATGTGATGAAATTGGTGTTTCTCAAATGTGCCCCTTCAACATCCACATATGCCTGAAAAGGGTAGACATGGGGATATTGTTGTACTAAGACTTGGTACAAACTAGCAAAAAATTGATCCTATGCGAAGGTTTAAAATATGCCTTTTGAAATACCCTGGGGTGTCTAATTACAAATGGTAGGCCTTTGTGGGTTGTTGTTTGTTTTTGTTTTGTGGGGTTTTTTTTGTTTTTTTTTTTGTTGAAAAGTCAAACTGCTATAATACCCCAAATTGAAACATGAGCCCATCAAATCCATCTCTCATAATTCTACTGTAAATACTGAAATGGACAGGTCTCCTATATGGCACTGAAGCTTCACAAAATAGTGCCAAAGGCATACAATGGGGGTTTTGTTGTACTCCGCAGATGTAGCTGAACACAAAATAAAGTTTTGTGCAGGAATAACACACACTAACTTTACGAAATACGCACGAGAAGTTCATTGTTATAAGTTTGTGTAAAAAAAATAAAAAAAATTTACTCCAATATTTAGCAGAGATTGGCAGTGAAATGGCTACGTAGAAAGTGTCAAAATAACCTTAGGTAAATAGCCTGTGATGTCTACTTTATATAAATAATATACTTTTGTGTCGCAATTTTGTTTTCTTTTATGGCTATTAAGCTTACAAGACAAACATAAAAAATTCTGAAATCGCTCCACATTAAAAGTTTATTTTACTCCTTGTGTTTTGTGATCTGTAACTACCAAAAAAAACTTAAAATCCTAGACACATTATATATTCTGTAAATCAGAACAACTAAATTTATTTATTTTTAATTACTTTCCTTAACCTGCACTAATTATGCACACATTATTATTGCAAAAACTGTAAAAAAATAAATAAAATAAAAAAAGTTTTGTTTTTTTAATAACAAATAAGCATTTATATATGTATATGTTACATTAAATTAAAACAGTTGTTGTCCTTTAAAAAATGTGTTGGTGCAATAAATTAGTAAAATGGAAATTGCAGTTGAACGCAAACAGCAAAAATTGCTTGTCATTAAGTGCAAGACAAGCTTTTGAAGCTGCGTCCTTAAAGGGTTAAGGGAAACCATAGTCCAGAAAATAAAAATTCTTTTTTTCAGGCCTACAAGTTCCCTTCTGTCTAGCCTCTTTGCAAAAAAAATGCATTTTTGCATTGCAGGGTTAAACAGAAGGAGCACTGCACCCAGACGACTTCACTGGGTGACTTTAGTGACCTTTTAATAAGGTTCTCCATTAAGTAGCACAGTGTTAAATGTATAAGGTAAAAAAAAAAACTTGCAACAATCTGCCAATATTGCTTCTCTATAAAGCTCTCACTACAGTTCAAACCAAGTGAGGCAGGACACACTAATCAGATCTGTATAATGTCACTCATAGATACTCTCCATGCACACTAAAGGTATTATGCTTAGACCGCACATCTTCCCACAGTAAATAATTATACTTATATTTAATATAGTGATCACTTCAACTTACTTATTCTTTGTTATACGAACAATTAGTTCTTCAAGTAAAGTGTAGCTTTTTATGCGACACCATAATGGGGAAGGTAGACTTCTCCACACAGCATCCATAGTAAGGAGGCCAGGCAGCAAAGATGAAGATAAAGGTTGCAAAACCATCAATGATTTAAAAGACACAATTTCAACACCATGGTTACTACAATAAGCTCTAGTGGTTATTTTGCTTGGATTGTTCCTTTGATACATTTAATGTAGAAGTTAAAACAGACGTAGGCCTCACCTTAATTAAGAAAAGCTTTCTGAATGATTTATCTACAAAAGTCACCTTTAAAGTCCACGCAGACTTTTGTAGATACATTGTTTGAAAAGATTTTCTAACAGATTGTCATCATTTGAAAAACATATCCAAATACATTAAATCAAGGCCTTAGCATGTTGTGTGACCTGTAACTGTGTTATCATTTTATTTAGCCCTCTGACAACCCCAATATACTAATGGGTGGAATTGATTTTTTTTTTTATTGATTTTTTTTTTTTTTTTTGGTTAGTCAGAAATTGGGAAAACCCAGTTTAGACACAGACACAGAGGAGCAAAGTATAGAAATAATGAATTCTTGCCAGAAGAGTTCTGGACAGCAGGAACATATACTGCAATAAATGATTGGTCCTTTTATTCTAGGACAGAAATCCAGACTACATCATGGCAATAAAAGGATGTGCCCTATAGGCACTGTGCATTGTCTGTGTATATTTAATGTCTCCTGATGCATTTCATGCTATTTTGATGGAATAAGGCTAACATTTTATTGTCCCAATTAAGCCAGGATTTCTGTTGTGAGTATAGGACCCAGTGTTGATGGCATTGTAGTCATACATTTTTATTTAAATATATCCACTTTGAATAAAATATTGGACATGTCCCATCCCAGGATTTGTAATATTTTTGTTTGTTTTTGTTGTTTTAATTCCCACTAACTACTTGCCTCTGTCCTGGAACTGGAGCATCACCCTCATGTTTGCTTCCTGTCAATAATTGTTATAAGCACTGCCTTTTGCACCTCAGTCAGCATATAGAGAGGAAAAAAATGGGGGTATCTTGTAATTTACATCTGCTACTATCATCACTCTGCTGATACAGGATGATTTCATGATTTTTGTTTGTTTTTTTCATTTTCTTTTTCTCGTATAGGTTTTTGTATAAGTCTGTTCAAGGAACAATGTTCCCAACGCAAGTACAAATTGGGCGACAGATCCTTAAAAACCATCCAGAATGTCTTACTCATTTACTCAGCAGACTGAACTCAAACACCGAATCTTCACCTGAAAAACAAAGCAATACTACTATATCAAACCTCAGCGACTTTAATTTTGTCAGAAACCAAAGAGAAACCAATGTGCAGCAAGAGGAGGGACACTTTCCATCATTGCAAAGTACCGTTAGAAGTCCGACCAGCGTTGAACATGTTTGTCTCAACCCAGATGCTTCTGTTATTAAAAAACAGGAATACCAGAAAGGAGAAAGCGACATTTTATATCATCGGAACTCTATTGTGTCAGATTCCCTGCTCAATTGGAGCACTTCATCTACAAAACTGGACCAATCTGATGTTAGTCTAATTAGCTGGATGACTTCTACTCCTTTGTTTAAAGAAGGTAACCAAGCAAAGCATCAGTCAGTCATTGCTAAAGAGGCTATAATTTTACCAACTGATCCTTATGTGACTAAGGACCGGGAAGATGTGGCAACATGCAATATAACTTTCCACCCAGAAAGGACTGCTAGAACAGGGGAGCTGCAGGAAACAACATTTTTATGATAACTACAGAACATGGTTAATTTATATTTTCTACTTTGCACATTGAACTTCAAGTTAATTTACTTTAAGAAGAAAAAAAAAACTCTAGGTACCAGAGACTGCTTTGTATTATATATAAGAGCTTTACAAATATTATATATATATATGAAAAGTTTTTAGTACTATTTTGATACATATTTTTTATTTGAGTATAAAAGATGCTATTGCATTGGGATTAAAACATACTGGTTAACTGGCTTTAACAAAAATTTATTATACAAGAGAGAAAAAGATATATAAATATATAGTTCTATATTTCAATAGTCATAGTTTTTATTATTTGTAACATTGTTCAAATGAATGCTACTGTGCTTGTCCTCTTAAAAAATATATATGTATATATATTTTTTTTTCAATCCGTCAAATCACTGATTCATACACCAGACATCTACCTTTTTAATGTAAGTCATGAAATGTATTTCTAAATTTTCATAAACCAGGTGGAATTGGTAAATATAAAGAAGAGTAACCAACACCACACAGCATCTGTGCTGAAATCTTGGCATTGTACTGTAGTTCATCCAGGTGTGTGCACATTAGTAGTGTACTTTATAATATATAGTTTTAAGATGACTTTCCAAAAAAGCAGTTAAGAATTATGTAATCACTTGTTAATTAACCTGGACTTTTACCAATAATTGTTTGATCATTGTTATTGACATTGACATTTTGAATGTACAATGGTCTAATTCATAGCATTCTTTAGTGAATAAGGAATGCATACAGCAGACAATGCCAAGTTTTTGTTTGTAATGTTGAGTTTTCCATGATACTTTAACACTTTACTTTTTTTTTTCTTATGTTTAGTGCTTTTGAATATTATGCATTAAACCTTCAAACCATCCTGTTATGTGGGCTTTCAGGTACTCCTCAGTTGATCAACCTTTTTATCAAGGATTTGACGCATCAAAATGTGCCAACATATTTTTGAGATCCTGATTAGTACCTGTCGAAGTATTTGGAGACTCAGTTAAACAAATATGAAGGGTGCTTGCGGAACTACTCAGATTGCAAAATTCCCCATGTTGTCCAGTTTGTTTGTTTTTGAGCAGAGCTGAAAGTCATTATTTATTGAATAAACATCTCATGACAGATTCCCATTATACAAGATGCTGTACTCGTGTAACGAGTGCCAACCTCCGTTCCATGCTGTTTAGATGAAAGGTTTGTGTTGAGATTTATATTTCAAATTAAGAGAAAAAAAATTATAAAACTTAAGTTTTATTATTGAAGAAGTCTAAACCCCCTAACCCAACTATTGATTAAAACATGTTTTTGGATGCAATCATAACTTTGTCTCTCTTTAAATGGCCTGTAAGCAACTTCATGTGCTCACAATGATTTATATTTATTATTTGTACCTTGACTTTTTTTTTTTTAAATCTTAAATCTAAATTAGTTTCCAGTGTCTTGATATACACAACATAGATATATGTTGTGTTATAATTGATTATTTATAAAATAAATATGCCAGCACTATTGTTATATAACATTGCAACCATGAGAGATTTTTAGACATGACAGATAACTGCATCAAACACTTGTTATTTCAGTGCTATGCTGAATATTAAATTGAAATTAAAGACAAAATAATATTTAGCTTCCCTTATTAGAGTTTGCAGCAAACAAGTGACATATGCTTTTATTGACGTCAGGATACCCAGGGCCGGTGCAAGGATTTTTGGCGCCCTAGGAAAAAGAAATATTTGCCCCCCTCCCATATGATCTGCCATATGAACTAACGCCAGAGCTGCACACAGTGTGTGTTTACATTAAAAACCCTGCAGGGACAGGCTATAGACTCCAGAACCACTACATTAAGCTGCAGTGGTTCTGGGGATTATAGTGTCCCTTTAATGTGACGTAAATTAGAGATTAGTGTCACTAATAATATACTAGATTGCCTATTTACAACCAGATGAGGATGATGATAGGCTCTGGATGCAGTCTGGCTCCACTGGTCTGGTGTAGAACAGGATCTCTGGAGGCTGTTTGTAACTGTGGTCACAAAATTCAATGTTCTGTGAGAACGTGAAGCAGCTCCATTTTTTGGGGCTCCTTACTCAGCTCAAGGTCTGGGCCCCAGGGCCTGACTGTGAGTATGCCCATAAGTCGACCTACATGTTCATCCCCATGAGTTCGCTCACAGGGAGTGGAGTGTGTAGGGGATGTGTTATGTGTTATTGTAGAGGATCTAATGTGTGTGCTGATGGAATGTAGTGTATAGGGATACCAGTTGTGTAGGTGTTGTGTTTCTGTGTGTGTAGGGATGCATTGTGTGTTTCTGTGTAAGTATAGGGATGCATTGTTTGTGTGTGTGTGTGTGCGCACGCGTAGTGTGAAAAAGCCCCTTGTCCTATAGAGCTCTCCCTTCCGTCCCTTAGTGGTCTCTCCTCTCCTTCCCTGTCCCTTAGTGGTCTCTCCTTCCCTGTCCCTTAGTTGCCTCTACTCTCCCCCCTCCCCCTTTAGTGGTCTCTCCTCTTCTTCCCAACTTTCCATTATCGGTCTCTCATCTGCCTCCTCCCTCCCTCTACTTTCCATTAGTCGTCTCTGCTCTCCCCTCTCTTTCCATTAGTGATCTCTCCCTCCCTCTACTTTCCATTAGTAGTCTCTGCACTCCCCCACCTTTCCATTAGTGATATCTCCCCTCTCTTTCCATTAGTGGTCTCTCCTCCCTCCCCCAACCCTTAGTGGACTCTCCTCTCCTCCCCCTCCCCTAGTGATCTCGTCTCACCCTCCCTTAGTGGTCTCTCCTCAAGTAAGGGATGCTTTGTGTATGTGTGCAAAGAATGTATTGTCTTTGTGTGTAATGAATGCATTGTGTGTTTCTGTCTATGTATAGGGATGCATTGTGTGTGTGTGTGCGCGTGCGCGCGTAGTGTGAAAGAGCTCCCTGTCCTGCCCCCTGTCATATAGTGCTCTCCCTTCCGTCCCTTAGTGGTCTCTCCTTCCCTGTCCCTTAGTGGTCTCTACTCTCCTCCACCCCACCCCCCTTAGAGGTCTCTCCTCTTCTCCCAGACTTTCCATTAGTAGTCTCTCATCTCCCCCTTAGTGGTCTCTGCACTCCTCTGTCCCCTCCCCCCCAGTGGTCTCTCCTCCCCCTCCTCACCCCCTTCCTTAGTGGACTCTCTCTCGGTGAGAACTTCCTGCCAGTCTGGCCGGGTACAGGAAACGGATGTTCCTGTACCGCAGACCGGAGAGGAGCTTGGCCACGCTACACAGGGAAGGTGAGGGGGGGTTGAGGAGAATGGGGGGAGAGAGGCAGTGCTGCAGCCGTCTGAGTGTCTCTATAGAGCGCTCAGGCGGCTGCAGCGTTAGAAGTGCTGGCGATGAGGGCGCAGTGTGCCCCCTCCTAAGTGTCGCCCTAGGCAGCTGTCTAGGTCGCCTTATAGGAAGTGCCAGACATGAGGGTACCACTCTGTTCTATACAGGGCATGGATACAATTAGATATTAGATTCTTGTGCACAAAATGCAGATCTCTATAGTTCTGTGCACTACAAGCCAAATGGTCTATACCATGGATGATTAAAAATAATCCATTACCAAGCAAATATTTGTGTCCCCATATTCCCTTATTTTTGCTTTAGGAATCGACTCGTGAAGGACCAAGTCACTCTACACAATTCCAAGAAATTACATCTTTCTGTGTACACAGTGTATTGCTACATTTAGCACTTGGGAGTCCGCTTTGGCATTTTGGTTTACACAAAGTGTGTGGTATAGTACCTTCTAATATTCCAGAATCTCACACAGCTTGGGTTTGTTTTTAACAATTATAGTCTGTACTGTCATGTTTAGAAGGTGACATCGTTCCCAAGTTACAGAATGAATTACAGAGAAGCGCTTCTTGATATAACACACGTAATACAAATTAAAATACAGATGAAGAATGATAAAATAAGTGTTCACCAGTGAATTAAAACATTTTGGTGTGGTGCATAAGCAATCCTAGAAAAACATTAATACTGTGGTCTTGTATGGTATCCCAGACACATAAGAAACAAATGGTGTCTGGAAGAGATAGGATCAAGGAATGGCATTCTCCTACTGTGTAACATTGTTATTGATTATATTCCTATCTGTGTCTCTCACTGAACAACTGCACTGCAATGCAAAAGAAGACCGGCATCTGTGCCCTAAAAGATATGTTACTGTTTTTAAAAACCATGCCTTTTTAGTATGCTAGTTGTGCTATACACATATGCTATAGTAACGGTGTTCCTGCATATGTGTTTTTTTTATTGGTCTATATTTCCAGGAATTAACAATACTAAATACAGCTTGTCATTCCATCTTTACCAATCTGTCTTGAACCTGCTCACTGAGAAGCCTCGTGATATGAAGTGGACTTATCCGTTTCTTCTAAAGTACACCATTTTAACATTAATTTACCAAATTTGTGCCAGCTCCACCATTGTTGCCTTTTCATTAATTCCAGATTTAAGCTAGCTAGTTTGGGCCTATAAAAGCCTGCACTTCAGACTCTAACATCCTTTTTTTTTTTTTTTTTTATCTTTTGTGTGTTTTCTATCTAAATTTCTGTTAAAGAAATACTAGCATTAAGAATACGTATGTGTAACCACTTCAACATTAGGACGTCATTACATCATAACTATAATAGGCTTTAACGTCACTGGGACTTATTGACACGTCCTAACATTTTGGTGTGAGCAGGGTTAGTGTTGGTGTAAGTTAAGGGTTCATACTATTTTAGGGTCAGAGATAGTTTTGGATCAAGGTTACGGTAGGTATACAAATTGTCTGGGTGACTTTAGTGGCCATTTAACAATGCTGCACTATTTCAGTCTTGTTCCTTTTTCAGGTTTGCTGTATCTTCTGTTTTTGGTAACATATAAATATTATGTTTATGGATGTACTACACAGTGCCATATCTGACCGTACACCTTCCATATGTCTGGTGGAGCTGAACTGCTTCAGTTATTTGAAAATGGCCTCACAGAGGTTTAATGTTAACATGTTTGTATGCCCATCAACCCGAAATATGCCTCAAAATAATTCTAGTTATTCAATTGCTTTCAACCTAAATGAACTGTGGAATTTGTTCTGAAAACTCTCTGCAGTTATAAGAACAATTAGGAGGGCTCACTGATACACTGTATAGTAATCAATAAGCAAAAAATTTGAAATGAATAGTATTTACCATCTCAAATGGGTGCTCACTAAATCACTCAATCCCTATAGGGTCAAAAGTACTCAATCAAATGCAAGAAAAACATCTGCAATTTTAAAAAATAAACCACTTTATTACAAATATTAAATACATAGCAGAAGTTCATTATACTTAGATTCAAGTATCCATACTCTGCACAATGTATAAATCAAACTGAAAACAATTAAACATGTATATTCAGTTAAGACAATATACACTATATGTAACACATACAATTGCATTAACCATGTAGTGCTTGTAACAAAAAAGTGACTGAACTATATCACAAAAAAGAAAATAAACATATAACAATATTCTAATTAACCAATGAATAATACATAAACGTTAAAATATAAGGTGCGCTGTGTCTTTAAGACCAAATTGTAAAAAGTGCAAACAGTGTAATAAAGTGATACAAAGTGCACACTAAGTGTATAGTGATAGGATGATATAAATGAAATAGTATACATACATATATTATGTCCTCTCAAATAGCAATGTACATCTATAAAAGAAAGAGACACAGAAAAAAACAGTGTAAATCTGTTATAAAAAATAAATATAAAATATAAATGCCAAATATTGCACTCACAAAGATAGAGCAGAAAACGCCTGCTCTAACTATAACAGTTTCTTCAAATATTCTCTTCTAATCAAGGACTGCACAGATGAAATAATCCAATAGATATATTTATTGCCCAGCACAGCACAAATATGTCATCTTCCTCCACATTCAGTATGCGATGCCAAGTGGTCGGCTGTATACAGATAAGGGTGTCGACTGTTCCCTCTGTTCTTAGCCACTCTTGCCGTCGCCACTGCCGCTCGATGACACTTCCGGGGGCAGAAGAATGCACTGATTTTTAAACAAGGTCCACCTCAAGACAATTTTGAATAATTTCAGCAAGATGAAGTTCACCAACAATTCACCAGACTGGAACAGTGCTTTAGCACTTTTTCTGGTGCTGCTCTGCACAGACCTGCTCTCTGCCGATACAATCTGACCTGCAACCACGAATTGTTGGTGAACTTCATCTTGCTGAAATTATTCAAAATTGTCTTGAGGTGGACCTTGTTTAAAAATCAGTGCATTCTTCTCCCCCTGGATTACAAAACACATATAATGTTTTTAATTTTTTTTAATTCTTTTTTATAATATATACAATATATATATATATATTTTACATACACATGTA